ATCCTACGAGATACCCGGTTTGGGTTCAGGGTATAGGGATTGTTTTTCGCATGATTCCTTTTTCGCGTGAAGGGTCTAGGAATCAGGTTTACCGAAAGACCTGATACAGCATTGGAGGGCCATGATTTAATGAAGATTAACCCGATGTCTCCATCAGTACATGCATGTATGTATATATATGTATATATATATATATATAAGTGTGTATCCGTACGCCTTGAGGAGGCTAACCCTGAATCCTATACCCTGCACGTTGTAGGTGGGCCCGTGTGCGGAGTCGAAGAACTCCGAGCCACCTCGCAACCTCAAGGCCCTGACAAGGTGGGACACAAGTAAGAGAGCGGCCTGGAAAGCTAGAATAGAGGTTTGGTGTATGTTGGGATATATATATATATATATACAAACGAACTACCAAACAGTCTTGGTAGTTCTTCAGACCCCGAAAGCAGGTTCGGCTAGATCTTTGGGCTATGGAGTTCGGAGGTTCAGGGTTTGGATCTTGCGGGGCTGTGGCTTACTTGGAGGTTCATGGGTAGTTACAAGTAGAGTTATAAGTCCTCTAACATATGCTATTAGTATAGTAATCCTACTTATAGCTTATAACTACCCATGAACCCGAAGTAGAATTTCCTGACTTTCTTCAAGACCAAGGCTCCGATTTGGAATCCCAGCAGAGGTCTACACCTGGAATCCCCAAAGCTTACCCTAGACCCAAGAGTAACCTAGGAACAAAAAGGGTGCCCTTTTTGGTTTAAAGGAGCTTATAAGGGGACCTGAACCCTAAAAAAAGGGAATAAGGGCCTACTCCAGGTCCTAGTACCCTAAGGCTCCGAAGAGGGTCATGGGCTTTCTTGGGGAGGGTTTGGGCTTTGGGGGCTAAGGTTTGGGCACTACGAGGGTCCGGGAGCCTTGGGGTAAGCCCTAAACCCTCAAGGGGGAACCTGAGGCCAGCACCATATCGGAAGACCTTCGGGCAAGGTTTCCGTCTCCGGTTTATGTCACCACAGGCGTTGATGGGCTATTGTAGGAAATTGATTAAGAAACCCTGGGTCTTGATTTATAAGAGTTCTTTACATGAACCGTGTGTTTTTGAGGATTTGGGAATGGTAAGAGACATACATACATCCCTACCTACATACATATGGGTGGTTGTCAAAATTACGGTGCCTTTTTGGGTACCTTAAATATTAGGTGCCGTATTATAATAAGGACCCAAGAAGGGATCCTAATTTTGACAACCACCCATATATGCATACATGCATCCCAAAATCTCACCCTAAAGCTTTGACCTTAATCTCTTATAAGCCTTCAACCCCCAAGACGCGTAAACCTTAGAAGAGGCCCCCACCCTGTAATAGTGGTATAATAGGAATATAATAGGGCCCTAATGATATAATCCTTATACTCACTATTGCAGGGTGGGGGCAGCTTCTAACGTAAACCCTAAACCCTAAACCATGAAACGGAATTGCTCGAGCAGCAAAGGGCGGCCAGGAACCGACCCCCAAATCCCGAGAACCGAAGTCCGTACCCACTGACCTACAGCTTTGGGGGGTTCAGGGTTTCGGGTTTAGGGTCCAGGGGTTTAGGGTTGGGGTTTAGGGTTTCGAACCCTGCCTAGTTGGAACATGGCTTAGGGATGATTCTTGACAGGATCCTTATACCTTCCCCTTTAAAGGCAAGAGGATGTCAACATGCCAACTTTCTGGCTTCTACCTATACCCTAAACCCTCAACCCCAAGACACTTAAACCTCAGACGCTCCCCCCCCCCCAATCATTCTAGGGGTTTCTGTCAGTGAGGATAAGGTCTCGTTTTGGGGTTTGGGTTTGGGGTTGAGGGTTCAAGGATTAGGGTGTCGGTATAGGGTCTCGGGTTCAGGGTCTAGGCTTTCGGTTTTTGCTTTAAACTTTAGGGTATGTAGGGTTGAGGGTTCGAGGCCCCTGAACCCCCGGTTAATTAGCTATGCCCGCAATCAACGTACTCATAACCTACTGGGTACGTCACCTCCCCGCATGATTCACCTACTTGTCGGGTATCATGGGGAACTAAATGTTAACCTTTTTGGTTATATAGGGGTTATATAGGGGACTACACTACCCAGAAAAGGTTCAAGGTTACCTACTCGACTACTAGGCACGTGTCTCCAGTGAAGGCGAGGCGAACAGATTCACATGGGAAGCGCGGTCCCGGTGATTCGCAGAGTCACCCAGAGAGCCCAATACGGCTTCATATTATGATTTTTAAGCTGGTATTGGGCTCTCTGGGGAGCCATGCCATCAGGAAACCAAGTGGTCGGCCTTGACGTTGCCGGGTTTCCGAAGTCTTGACCGTGCGAGTTTCGCGACAATCGCAGGAATGCTTCGAGCAGAATGCGTGCATGCTTTGAGCGCGAGGGTAAAAAATGTACCGAGCCCAGGTCGCCCCCAAGTCCATCCTACACCCTAAACCCTAAACCCTAAATTGACTTCTGTTCCACTGCGCTAAGAAGCAGCGGCTCTGGAGTCTTTGGGGCAGGGGCGTCAGGGGCCGGCAGGGGCGACTGCTGCAGCGTGGAGCAGGATGCGGACACAGCCTCGGGCATCGGAACTTCGATCTCTTCGGCGTCCCAATCATCGTCTGAGTCCGGAATGGTCCCTGTTGATCCAAAGTATGAAGATCAAAACCCGAATGAATGAAGCTCGTAAACCCTCATGAAACCCAAAAGCTGCCTGAAAGCTACACCCCGAACCGTTGCTCCTCTCGTCTCCTCCCTCCCTTTCAACCGCTGGACATCTCGAGACCCTACATCCGCACATCCTAAAACTCACCGCCTAGGCTCTAACCTCATAGAACCAGTATTTTACGGTTTAGGGTTTAGGGTTTAGGGTTTAGGGTTTAGGGGAAGCACAAACTCTAACCTCATAGAACCCGTATCTTAGAACTCTCGATGTAAAACAAACAGTTCCCAACCCTAAGCCCTCAACCCCACACCCCACACCCTAAGCCCCCAAACCCTCCCTAAACCACAGCTCTCCCCTTGCACCTCGAAGGTCATGTGGGGGATAAGTTCAGGAGGGGCTTCCCGAGCCGATCGGCTGCGAAGCTACGCTGGAAACAAGGGTGGTCAAAAATGGTTCTTTCGGACGAAAGGGGTTTAGGGCTTAGGGTTTAGGGGTTTAAGGTTTTTTTTCAACGCAATAGCTCTTTCTCCGCATGACATGCGGGTCCGAAGCCCGCCTCGAAAGGCACTGCACTATCAAGGGGTTTAGGGTGTAGGGTTTAGGCTTCATAGAAGCGGAAGAAATTCATAGACATTCCTTGACGTAGGATCCCCAACGACTCCTAGAAGTTTCAGGTGCAGGTCTAAGAGGAAGGCTGTTGCAGGTTCCCTTCAATCGGGGTCTGAACTTGCTCCCAAAAGGAAGTCCCAACTGCAGGGTCTACTATCGGGACCTAGATAATTGGTAACCAATGCTTTTCGTTATTTTCTTTTTTTGGGGGGGGTCCTTATTCTAATTGTTGCGGCCCTTTTGTGCATGTGGATTTCTGCAGTTTGGGGGTCTCAACAACTCTCGGGGTTAGGGCTCTTTCGGGTTGGTAGGGACGACGGGTTTAGGGTTTTTGTTCTCGGCCTCTTTACTGCTGATGACGCAATCCGCAGCTAACACTGGGTTCCTGCATAGGTCTGGGTTTATGTCCGGGTTTGGGTGGGTGTACATAGAATGTGGGTGAACGTATAGTCGGGCTGCTTTTGGGCATGCTAATTATCCGTACCAATACAGCCCTGCTTCTTGTCGGGTTCATCGGCTTGTCTTAGATCGTATGTAAGGGATATGTATGTTGTCTGGTACAGAGCCTTGTAAAGGTCTTCGGAACCTGAGGTCGCTAAAGCCTCAACCCTCAACCCAACGTCAACCCAAACCCAAAATTCCGGACCCCAAACCCTAACGCCCTAAACCTGAACCCTTGTCTTAACCTGGACCTAGCCCGTAATGTGAATTTTGGGGACCTTGATCGTTGGAATAAGGCCTTGTAGTAATATACTAAAGTATAATGGTAATAAGGAGCCATTTAGGGTTTAGGGCTTCACTGGCTGTAAGGCTTCCAAGTCCGATCTTCTATGCATCGACACTAAGAAACTCAAAGTCATGGGTTGAGGGTCAAGGGCTTTGGGTTCAGGGTCCGTTACAGATCCCAACAACGGAACTCTTGAAACAGCCTGCACCTTGAAACAGCCTGCACCACAGACTCTACTCAAAGGATCAGGGGACTTAGTAAGTAGGGTTAGCAGCAATTCCCCTCATTGGGCGTATATGGTTACCTCACTTCTCACCCCACTTGCTACGTCCTCTGATCCTTACTTAGTTGCTGAGTTCATAAGTCCCAGAAAATGTACACGTTTAGTTTTATAGTGGGTAATACGATCCCAAAATGTGTAAAGCGCATCCACTCAGCTACTAAGCTTAAGTAACCCTAGATGTTGGTAGGATCACCTATCCAATTTACGGAGGCTTTGGGCTGAAAATGCGCAATCGACTACGTCGTATGTAGCGCCTGATACTGTAGGGTTTAGGGTCTTGGGTTGTCCAAAGCTCTGAAGTTTTCAGCCCCTGGATTCGATCCATAATTAACCGCAATACTTCAATAATCGTTTGCTATAAGTTTTGGGCCATTAGAACAACAGCAAGCAAGATTCCTAAGAACCACCTCACAGAAGGCACCTTTTTATGTACGCTTGTGGGGCATAGTTCCGCGCACTGCACCGCAGTCATGGCGTGTTCGGCTGGGAGACAGATCGTAGGCACGGAATTATCTGTAAAGCCTTGTCCTAAACCCCCAACCCTCAACCTTTACACCCGACTTATACCCCACAACTACTTTCAAGTCCACAACTCCTCTCGAGCAATTATTGCTTAAATGGGACCGCCAAATCCACAAACCCTGAAGCCTTAAACCCGAGTCCAAACCTAAGCTCCCTAAACACAGCCTGGAAACCCTAGTGGCGCAAGGCTAGTGCCCTCAGCGGCGAGCGTCACGACTTCGGCTGCGACCTGGCGAGTGCCATGGCTTGTGTCGCAGTGTGGCTGGCGATGTAGGAATTCTTTAACCGGACCTGGTGCATTTGCGGCATTTACAGTGAAGATCCTGCTGCTGAGGGTCGACGATATATAGGGTCATTTATCTATGACTGAAACTTCCATTTTCACTTTGGCACCAAAACTCACACGCTCCTCCTAAACTCACGCTAAATTCAAAGAAACCCGGACATTCGGCCACGCCCCAAACCCTAAACTGAAGTCATATCCCTGAATGGGATTGTCGGCCATGATTACGTCGTTATCGAACATCCCATCAGCCTACCGTCTTCACTGTCCGTTTCTTTCTATCTATCTATCGATCTATCTATTTGTATTTACATACTATTGTATACATGTCAGTATATTGTATGTACACATGTATGTGCATATATACAAATATATATGTCATACACGTAGAAAACAATGATATGTGGCCAAGAAGATGCTGGATGGCTTCGAAGGGCTTGCGAACGCTCAGGATCCATGGTACGGCCTTAAGTTTATTTTTTTACGGTTTTCATGCTTCCGGCTCATGTTTTGGGATTTTAAATTCGAAAAACAACTTGTGGTACATGTTGCTCAGATCTTGCGCAATCCTTCTGTTGAAGGCTGTGGGCTTTGCGTCTGCGTTTCCTGGAAGCCGCGCACAAGTCCCGTTTCGGGTTTCGGTAAGGTGGAAACGCGCGGTGTGGTTTAAATTTTAAAAGCCAAAGGGGAATCATACTTTAGAAGGCACGGCAGATTCCGAATGTGATACTGGATCCCCAAGGCGAAGTTTAATTTTTAGCAGTTTCGTATTTGTTTTCGCTTTTGTGCTCGATCCTGCCACGTCTGCAAGGCATCCAGAATCCAGAAATCCAGAAACTCTATTTATATTTGACTTCTGACGTTCGCGCTTCTGTCATGAGCCGCTCCAACCTATGCGGTGCCGCGCTGCCTCGAGATCGCATGCAGCAGCAGCAACAGCGGTGTCATGTACGCACGGTGACACACGTGTGACTTCGCTTACAAACTTAGGATGCGCTCGGGCTGTGAGACGAACATGGCATGGCACTGTCGACGGTCTCCTGAAATACAAGATGGCGACCACCAGCAGTAAGTGATCATGCATATGCAGACCTGTGTAGGAACAGACTACCATTTCGGCTAGCATCGAAGTACCTGTACTGTGCCGCAGCTTGTGCAGCGTATCTCAAGGGTTCATGTCATATTGCCACCCATTACACACACGCAGAGACACACGCCGGACGCACCGTATATCTGGCGCCAACAGATTTGACATGTGTGTCCTTAGAGCCAACACACGAACCCTTGGGGCGTGTTGTGTATACCATGTACATTTCGGAGTGAAACACTTTAACTGTTTAACGTTTAGAACTGAGGGTGGTTTATGGCTGAGGGTTTTAAACTGAGGCGTTTTGGGGTTGACCTTAACCTCCCATAAACTACTTTTTGTAGGATCCGATCAAAAGATTTTCCAGGGACCTCGCAAAGGCAACTGTATTTTGGTAGGTTAAAATACCTGGACCTGAGAAGCCTTGATGCTGTAAGGGCTTGTATAAAAAGGAACAAATCGAAAGCAGGTTACTTGGGGTTAGGGTAGGGTTTAGGCTCCTCAAGGCTGCTGAGGAAATCGAAAACAAGACCCTTTACAGTGATTTTTTCGGTACATCTCGGGCAGAAACCGTCAGATACGACGTCCAAAGGGAAATGCAAAACTTATAAAAATGGTTTTGTGGTAAATCATATTCTGGATGTTTGAAGACTGACTATACGGGACAGCAGCGCTTCCTATTATTCAGAGCCCGAAATATTACGTGCTCAAAGGCCCGGAGCAACATGACTGCAGAAACGTGCTTTACGGCTTGGGGTTTAAGAATTCCGTTTCTCGATTGTGGTCAACCTGCTGCATATAGCTAGTATAGGGGCCTTAGTGATTAAGGAGGCGATAATACTAGGAATTAGTCAGACCCCTGAAGTACGCTCTAAGTGGGTGCTGCAGTCACAGAAAAACAACAACGCTGAAAGCAGCAGGTTGATGTTGTGACTTTGGAGCAGTCAATGTGCACGGCAACTGGGTCTGGCGCGAACTGCCAGAAGTTGCATTGACAGTATGTAGAGACTGTAGACACAAAGCTACTCGACAATGGCACTGGAGTGGAAACCAAATGCCACACGGTATTGTGGGAAGAACAAGATAAGACCAAGACTATTCATTGTCATCGCGGGCATGCCAACATCACGCCTCAAATAACGTGGCTTTCAGAATTGTAATGGGGGCCGCAACTACGGTCTAGCATAATTATGCTTACAAGGACTCTTGACTGTAAGCTGACACTGCTACATGCTAATTCTTCAGACCCACCCCTTGCTAATGAAGACAACTCCCTGCATCCTCAAGTGAACGTAGTCTCCAGTATAGCTGTTTTAGGTTAAGGATTTGCCTTCCTTAGGTTAACCGATTTGCGGGTAAGTACCCTACAATGAAAGAAACCAGGTAGCCTTACAGAATGGACTACAATGGAGAGCACAACCCCAGACTCAACTCCCGAAACCCTGCAGCCCAGAGCAATGAAGTCCTTTATACAGAGTACAGTAAAAGCCCCAAACTTGGAAACCCAATAGCCTCAATCCTTAAGAGTAATGTCTAGGGAATCCCAGCACTGATTGTCAGACTCGATAAAAACACTCTGGAACCCTGTTTCAACACCCTTACGACCCAAAACTAATAAACCGCCAAGCCCCAAAAGCCCTAATTACGCACACCCAGAAGAGATTCAACAAATGACAAGCTTTCTGAAAAACCCTCGCACCTCGAGCACGGCCGTCGCCCTTTCCTCGAGGATCACCGTGGTCGCGGCGATGATCTGTCAACGCAGCGTCGTGGGCTGGAGGTGTGTTCCTTCATGGTTTGGGGTTAAGAGTATAAGCAGGAGCTCTAATGACTCGGCTAAGGACCTTTAGTGTAGGGCTCAGGGTTTGATGCTTAGGTGTATAAGTAGCTTAGGGTTTCGGGCTTCAGGGTTCTAGTGCCCTCAAATCATCCTCAGTGGGCGGGTTCTCAAAGAGGAAGGTTTTCGATATCAAGGCTTTCAAGTCAAAAGCTTTCAGGCCTTTGCAGGGGAGTTGTAGGTCTTAGCGTCTTTTCGGGGTTTGGGGTTCATTCCAGACACCCTGACTTCACAGGCCCCAAAGACAGGAAGAGACGAAAAATCAAGGGCCCACATTGGGGGGTGGCGCAACTACCCCCGGTGATTGCAGTTCGGTGTTTGCGGCTGCACGGCTTGCCGTTTAGTTTGAGCATCAAAAACCGTAATTTAGAGAAACCCCAACATAGATGTCCTTCAGCATTAACATCCCTTTATCGTCTATAGGACATACTGTAAGATACCCCACAACGATGTTCTAATAATTAAAACCCCATGCCCTCTGCACCACCTATAGACCCCGCGACAAAACCAGTTTGAATCGTATGAGCATCCTACAAATACCTGGACAATGCCTGCACGAACCCTGATAAATGAATAAAGCTTCATCATTAACCCTATGAAAGCCTACAAACACTCTCAACAAATCCCTGAATAAAACCTATCGAAGCCTCGATCAGCCCTATGCAATAAACACCATTCGAACTCTTAGGGCCCAACAATAAACCTTACAAAGCCCTGTAAGCAAGCAAACCAGTTGTGAAGGCCACTCCTCTATTAGACGCGGCTCCCGAAACCTCAACAAAACCCAAAGGGATCCATAGAGGGAACCATTGCAAAAAACACCCTTAGAACCCGCAACCCGTAAACCCTGGACCCCAACCCTAAATCATAGACACTGATCCCCAACCCTAAACCCCTAAACCCGAAAGCCGAAACCCCAAACCCTAAACCCCAAATCCTAAACCTTCTCCTTTTCAACTTGGCTTCAGGAACGGTCTGGCCTCGGTGGCCGCCATGATCACCCGGCCTGCAGAGATGCTGAGAGATCGGGGTTTAGGCTATTACAGTACTTGTAACGGCAGAAGCAGCAGCACTTGAAACATAGTCGAAACCTGGCTGCATCGTCATTTCCTTTCAGCCACAAGCACGAGAAGAAGAAGAAGAAGAAGACAGTTCAGGGCCGTGAATAAATACACGAATGCAACAGGCGTGTTCTGAGTGCTGCTATTGTGATGCAGCCTAGGCTGAACGTCTCCATTCCTTGCCTGTCGCGGCCGCCACGGTCGTCACCCCGACGCTCACCTTCTAGGCATGCAGCTTTCTTCAGTGCTGGAGGAGCTACGCAAAGTGCTCCCCTCCCTCAACCTTAAGGCTCATATGGCATGAATCCTAAACCGTAAGTCCTAAACTCCTGCCATTCCAAACCCGCGGCCCAATGCAAAAGAAGCCCTGTCGGATTGTTTGATCCACTTTCTTGGGCTGCATGGCCCACTCCTTCATGATGCATTCTAAACCGTAAGCCGATTGAAGGCAGAAGCAAAAAAATCCTCTTCCTGCACCCTTTGTGGGCAGAAGCAAAAATCTATCCTAACCCTGTTGTGGGCATAAGAAGAACAGGCGAAACTGTACCTTGCTACTTTCAGAGCGGTGAGGGTGGCGAGGCCAGTCAGGCCAGGCCAGGCATTCACAAAGGGTTTAGGGTTTAGGGTTGAGGATTTAGGGTTTAGGGCTTGGGTTGAGGGTTTAGGGTTTTGGGAAGCTTCTTTCCTGACCCCTGGTGAAACTGCAGAGTTTTGTCAGCAAAAAAGAGAAAGGCCGTGGAAGAATCGGACGGCAGGGGCAAGAGTAACCTACTATAGGGGCCTTAACAATTCGAGTAGGGTTTTGGGGCCCATTATACTATAAGTATAGTAAGGAACCCCCACAATAGTATAGGTAATTATTGTGGCCCCTAAACCCTAAACCCTAAACCCTAAACCTTTTACCCCTGCATTTTTCATCCGAAGGCCTCGAAGCTGCCGACCTTTCCTTGACCCTATGCTCGCTTCAGGGGTTACTTGGAGGTTCATGGGTTGTTATAAGGGTTCCTTTAAAGGGATCTATAGGGATTCTATAAGGTAGAGGGTTTAGGGTTTATGGGTAGTTATGAGTAGGGTTATAAGTAGGATAACTATACTTATGACCCATATTCGGGGACTTATAACCCCACTTATAACTACCCATGAACCTCCAAGTAGGGTCCCGTCCAAAGTCCGAAGTCAGACTCGAGAATGATTAAGCTCCACCGACCGGCAAGTGGTTAAGAAGGCTATGCCAAGAGCCAATCATCTCAGTTCAGTGTGTGTCGAAACAAGGTTGACACATATTGACGCGCATTCCTTACGGTACCATCCATGTTGGTTCGATGTCTGTCAGCATAGAGTTTGATGCGGGCGCCGTATAGTACCACCCTTTTCGGTTCGCTGCGTGTCTTTTCGGTTCAACGGTTTTCTGCGCAACCAAGAACCTCACGCGTTTTCGGTTCAGGTCTCTTCGTGGAAAAGTGCAAAAATTGAACCTGACAAGTGGTTGGTTCAACTTTTCTTGTGCAGAAACCAAATTCTCGGTTCAACCATGTTGGTGGACAGGCTTGCTTGACGTCGACTGGGAGTTGTTGAAGTCGTAGGCTACTGCATACTTGGAGTAGTTATTTTAAAGAGTTGCAAGTACCATAACCCCAACTGGCGTCCCGTTTCGGGCACTGAAAACCGGACCCTCCAAGCAATATCTTACTGTTATGGGATTCTTAGGGTGGGAGGGCATTTTTCTGACGCACCGCTGGCCAGCCGAGCCGGGCTAAACCGGCACTGACCCCTAAACTCCTAACCCAGACACTCAAAATCCGTTACAAAACCCTCAAACACCCCCAAAATCTGGGCAAAAGGCAAGCTAATTATAGAACACTCTAGCAGCCCTACAGAATGCTCCAAAGACAACCCCAAGGCACTCAAACCCCGAGGCCGTCCCTCGATGGCCGCCTCTGCCCCCACCGCCACCACGGCGATCTCCTCCCCTTGGGTCACCGGGCCGGCCGCCTTTGGGGCAGCGGTTTCTGTGTCTTTGTTGAATGCCTTTTGCCTTTTGCCCTGTCGGTTAGACGGACACGAGGTTTGGTTCGGATATTGTATTACATTACATTAGAGACCTTGATATATCGAATATTAGTAGATTTTGTTTTATTTCATCTTACGCTGTATATTATGTTATACCATATGTTGATATCGATATTATATGACGGTTATACTGCAAGTTGAAAGTATATTGTATGATATTATATGATGTTCTTTGATGTTACATGCTATTGTATTCTGCGGCAACTTGACCCTTCGATCATCCGACCACTAATCATTCATTCAGCTCCCTTCGGCATGCCCCTCAAAGTGTCATGGTGATCGCTCGCGCTCACTGCCTCGTGCGCGGCTATGAGTTCGGCCATCTCGACACCGAACTGTGTCACAACATCGTCTCAAATTCTAGGCCCCTGCTGCTTGGAGATTCCTGGGTAGTTAGAAAGCGGGTGAGAAGTAGATATACGTAAGATAACTAAAGCTCTGTATACTACATCAGGGGGCTTATAGGTCCACTTATAACTACCAAGGAACCTCCAAATAGAGCCCTTATCGGGCCCTTATAGATCCCCAAACGGAACCTCATAAACCGCAGCTACAGCCACCCATGAACCTGCAAGTGGTACTGTTGATGTATGAACCCTGCATTACCTTAATGACCGTAGGCAATAGGAATGATGGCATATTCCTTGCTATGGGTAATGCAGGATTTGCACAGTAGAAGGCAGAAAGTTGGAATTATCACTATCCTCATGCTCTTGAGGTAGAGTAAAGGGAACCCCAGCACCAATCATCCTAAGTCCATGCTCCAATTTGCTGGGTTCACCGTATACCCCAAACCCTAAAGCCTATACCCCAAGCCCTTCAAGCCCTAAAGCCCTAAACCCTAAACCCTAAACCCCAAACCCCTAAACCCCTAAACGGTAGCCCTCGAATACACCGGCTACCCCGGGAGCTCCACAGTCTAGTACCGTCTCTGCCGGCACCCTTACTTAAAGGATCCGGGTTTAGGGATTAGGGTTCACGGTTTGGGGTTAAGGGGTTTGGGGTTTAGGGTTGAGGGTTGAGGGCTTTAGGCTTTCGGATACAAGGGTTTAGGGTTTAGGTGTTTTGGGGTTCAGGATCAGGGGACCTGGCAAGTCGGATTACAAGTACATTGATGGGATAAGTAGAGTCACCTCACTTGTAACCCTACGTACTAAGTCTCCTGATCCTTTCAGTAAGTCACCACGGCGACCAAAGGCAAAGCTGAGGCGGTGCAAGCTGCTGGAGGATCTGAAAATCTCGAGGTTCGTCATCGTCACAGATCTTGCATCTCATTGCGTGGTACATCGAATTGAAGGCTGCCCCTTTCTCCAACACCTCGTTGAGCAAAGCCTCCCTGCCAAAAAACTGTTGCAAGTCCTCGCCATTGAACTCCTTGTACTGCAGGAAACAACTATCAAGCAAGCGGAGTAGATATCGGAGTACGCCACGATGTCGCGGATGCACACCGTGTCAGCGGTTGAAATGGGCATCCGACACCCTGAACGGCAATGTGGTCTGAAACATGCAATTTAGGGCTCAGAACTGTTTAGCGTTCTTGGGTTTAGGGTCTAGGGTTCTTAGGGTTATGGGTTTAGGGTTGCTTCAGGACTCTTGGGGTTTACTGTAGGGCTTGGGGTTTCCGGGTCCAGGGTTTAAGGTGCAAGGCTTCTGAACTAGGGCGGCTTAGAGTTTACATATGGGTAGTTGTCAAAATCAAGGTCCATTTTTGGGGTACCCTAAACAGTAGGTGTCGTATTGTAATAGGGACCCAAAAAGGGACCCTAATACAGACAACCGCCCACATGGCTTGAAGGCTGTAGATAATCGACCCTTACACCGAAATCCTGTGTCTCATATCCAAAAAACTTTGGTACAAACAGCCTCAAGCCATGGTAAACTTGGAGGTTCATGGGTATAAGAGGGTTTTAAGGGGTCCTTTGAGGGATCTATAAGGATTCTTCCATAAGGGAATAAAGGTCTAGGGTTCATGGGTAGTTATAAGTGGGGCTATAAGTCCCCTGATATGGGTTTTAACTTTAGGGGTCGTAAAAGCTAAGACATGGAGTAGGCCCTTATTCCCTTTTTGTACGGTTCAGGTTCCCTTATAAGCCCCCTCTAAACCGAAAATGTCACCTTCTTCATTCCTAGGCTACTCTTGGGTCTAGAGAAGTACCTATACATAGGGGCCTTAGTAGGTAGAAAAGGATCCCTCTAAAGGGGTCTGTAAGGTATGTTTAGGTACTCTCTAAGGCCTCGAAAAGTAATTCCTTAAACCCTAAACTCTAAACCCTCAACCCTAAACCCTAAACCCTAACCTTCGACCCTGCAAACCCTAAACCCTGAACCCTAAACCCTGAACCCTAAACCCTAGACCCTAAAACCCTAAACCCTAAACCTCTTAGGAATCCCTTATAGCAACCCTTATAGATCCCTTTCAAGGAACCCTATAACCCCTAAACCCATAGGAATCCCTTATAGTAACACTTATAGATGCCTGTAAAGGACCCTATAACCCTAAACCCTAAAAACCCTAAACTATAATCCCTCATCCCCTAAACCCTAGACCCAAAAGAGCTCTCAAAAAGAGGAAAGCTTTACACCCTGCAACCCTAATCCCTAAACCCTAAAACCCTAAAACCCTAAACCCTCCTTATAGATCCCTTTAAAGGAACCCTATAACCCCTAAAATCCCGAAAACTCTAAAAGCCCTAGGTCCTCTATTAGGTACTCCCTTTAAAGGGACCCTATAACACCGAAAAACCCTATAAACCCGAAAAATCCCTAAACTCTGCCGTGTCCCGACCTCGATCTCTTTCGCCTCGGCGCTCCTCAAAGCGGCCTGGAAGGTCTCAGATTCGGGTTTTAAGGGTTTTAAGGGCTTTAGGAGTTTTTAAAGGTTTTTAGGGGTTTTCGGGGCGTTAATTAAAGGCTTTTAGGGGTTTTAGGGTTTTAAGGGTTATAGGGTTCCTTTCAGGGGCTCTAGGATTTAGGGTTCCTTTAAAGGTTACAGGGTTCAGGGGTTCAGGGCTTAGGGTGTATACGGTTTAGGGTTTAGGGTTTTAGGGGTTGTTAGGGTTTAGGGGTTATAGGGTTCCTTTAAAGGGATCTATAAGGGCTCTTATAAGGGAATCCTAAGGGTTTAGGGTTTTAGGGTTTAGGGTTTAGGGTTTTTAAGGTTTTAGGGTTTATTATAGGGTTCCTTTAAAGGGATCTATAAGGGTTCCTAAAAAGGAATCCCAGGGGTTTAGAATTAGGGTTTAGGGTTTTCGGGTTTATAGGGTTGCTTTACAGGGATCTATAAGGGTTCCTAAAAGGGAACCCTAGGGTTTTAGACTTTTGGGCTTTAGGGTTTTAGGGTTTTGGGGTTTAGAGTTTAGGGTTTAGGATTAGGGTTCCAGGGTTTAAAGCTTTCTTTTTTTGGGAGCTTTTTTGGGTCTAGGGTTTAGGGGATTAGGGATTATAGTTTAGGGTTTAAGGTTTCGGGTGCAGGTTTCAGGATTTAATTTTTGCTGCTTTGGTGTTGGGATCTAAACCCAGGACAACCTAAACCTTTTTCGGGTTCAGTAGTCACCAATCCAGGCGAGTGGCCACGATCGTCTCCCCGTCGATCGTCGCGGCCGCGGCCGTCGCGGCCTATGGTACACACTCTCAAAGACTCCTTCTGGAGAGAGGTTTAAGGATTAATTACAGCTTGGAGTTGAGCGTGGAGGATTTTGCTTCTAGAACCCTTATGGAATCCTTGTAGACGCCTTGTAAAAACCCGCATAGAAACCTTGTAGACCCCACTGCGCAGCAGTGCGGAGTGTTGAGAACGAAGCCCACTACAGCAGCATGAATGTCTCAAAAGACCTCGCGTTGTGATGAAGGCACCCATGATTGAAATACTCGTAAATTCACATCATTGAGATTTTCATTCAAGTTATATCGTGCAAGGGCGGAAAGTCTCTATCTGTATATAGTATATCATATAAGTTAGTCCTCTATGTCATGTTGAACAAGCCGGGAATGAGGACGAGCTGTGTGCTCACAGGCCCCACTGTGCAACATCGGCTGGAGCTGTTCATCATGCGAACCAGCATCCAGAACAGATTTCTCGCATGCAGGACGGAAGATGAAAAACTGTTTTTCCAAAAAACGCAAAGCTTAAGCCCCTAAAGCAGCTACAGCACAAAAATTCCATGCCTGGCCCCGGAATCCCGACAACCCTAAACGCCGAAACCATAAACCTAATACTATAGGGGCCTTAATAATTGGAAATAGGGTTTTGGGGCACTATACTATATTGATAGAAGCCCCCCCCAACAAAAAAAAAACATAGTATTGATACTTCTTTAGGCCCCTATGCTAGATCTCTTGTTTGATGGGAGGCCAAAAGGGGGGCTTTAAGATTCTTAGGGGTAGGGATTCCTTAATATGAACCCTATTATGGGAACCCTAATCCCTACTAAACCCCCATAGGCTAAAACCCCTTTTGGCTTCCTATGATTGTAAATCCTCTCGGAGCCGCGCCGTCGCGCATATCACGACCTCCATCGCGACCTCGATCGCGGCCTGGTCCCGTGAAGCGAGGGTTTGGGGTTTAGGGGTTTAGGGTTTGAGATTTGGGGTTTAGGGTTTGGGGGTTTAAAGGGCTAGGGGTTTAGGGTTTGAGACTTGCTTAGGGTTTGGGGATTTAGGGGTTTGGGGTTTAGGGTTTGAGATTTGGGGTTTGAGATTTGGGGTTTAGGGTTTGGGGGTTTAGGAGTTAGGGGTTTAGGGTTTTAGATTTGGAGTTTAGGTTTAGGGTTTGAGATTTGGGGTTTAGGGCTTGGGGGTTTACGGGTTTGGGGTTGAGGATTTAGGGGTTTAGGGCGTAGTACTTAGGGTTTAGGTGTCAGCTGGCATGCACTGACCACCTTCTTGGTCGTGATGATCGCGTGGCTGGCGAGCGGCACAACCACCGCCGCTATATCGGGTTGACTCCTGATGGCTACCCATAGCAGGGACCCCGACTCCGTCTGCGCAGTCTTCACCAGGTTAGGGTAGTCGCCCTGCTTTGATGCTGCTCTTCCTCCTCCGTGACCTAACAGTTGAGAAGGTCTTTCAGGTTGCTGCTTCGGACCGACCACGACAGCTCGTAAAGGCTGCTGCCGGGATCTTCCCGAATTCTTCGATATTCGGAAGACGAAAGGAACCGCTGAGATGCCAGGATCTCCGCTGCCGCCATGCCTTAGCTATCCATCTTGTCCGACAAAACCTGAATCCCCCCCCCAATCTGCCTTACTATATAGGCGTCAATTATTAGCATAGGGCTCCTTTAAAGGGCCCTTGCATCAGGGGTCTATGAGGATTCTTTGATTGCGGTGCTTCGGGGTTTATAGGGTGTGGGTACCGGGCCTGGTATCCTGCCTTATTAAGGAGTCCCAAAAAACAACATTGGAATCAATCATTCATTGCTCTATAGTCCCGCTTCTAATTTAGAACGGGCAAACCCTAAACTCGAATCAAGAATCCAATATGAGGGCGCCGCCATCCCTCTCGCGATCATCCCTGTGGCGGCCATCCCTTTCTTCGCGGTAGCGCCGCTCCTGCAGCAAGGGTAGAAGCATTGCGCTGAGGTGTTGAGCTAAGGACACACTGTTCAAGACGCATCAGACCCAGTCAAGTTAAGGCCTCAACGTTCAACACCACCTTAAAATGTATTGAACCTTTTTTCCCTCAAGTTCTCTGTCTGTGTCTGGTGCAGGGTTAAGGTTTAGCGCTTGTGTTGTGATCGGTTTGCCCTAAGGCTCAAAGTAGCCCAAAAGCTTTATGTGGTGTGTGGTCTTTGGGCCTAAAAGCCTTCATATATGAGTCCTTAGAGCCTAAGGGCCGATCCTCAGGTTCGGAACTCGGCTCGAGGCAAAACTCTGTAAGTGCTCTTGTCAACTAACCCTAAACCCTAAACCCTGAACCCTAAACCCTAAACCCTAAACCCTACACGCTAAACCCTAAACCCTACACCCTAAACCCTAAACCCTACACCCTAAACCCTAAACCCCAAAGAGGGCCGTAGTCCCCTACTCTGATGAGCATTGGCAATCAGGCAACACCCTTTGACGCATCATGTGCGCAAGCTCGTAATCTGAGTTGCTGAGTTCATAAGTCCCAAAGTGTACACTTTTGGTTTTATAGTGGGTAATATTGTCCCAAAAATGTAAATGTATCCACTCAGCTACTACGTAATAGCCATGACATTGTGGAAGAGCTACGATGCCTGCACGAGCGTACCATGTGAGCTCTACAGCAAACCCCAAGCCCGATTATTAAGGCCCTGTAGTATGCTTCAGTGACGGATGCTCTACGTCAAATGTACATTTCGAGTGAGCTGAAATCCTTGGCTCCACGAACGCTTCGTTAGGGAATTGTCGTGTAAAGTGTACGGGGAGGGTAGGGTTTAGGGTTTAGGATCTGGGGTTTAGGGTCTAGGGTTTAGGGTCTAAGGGCTTGAGGGTTTAGGGTCTAGGATTATTCTCAGGATCTGGGCTTCAGCGCATCCTACCGTGAACCCGGAACCTTCGAACCCTAAAGTTACCTCAAAGTCCAAGAACCAACCGCTTTCAAGGGGTTATACCGTTATACCCGTGATCCAGGGATCATATCCTACTATTGTGTGGATTCGGGGTTGTAGGTGGGAACCATCAAGTCTAAATTATGCGATGTGGGTTCCAGGTCCCCCAGAATAGTACGGACACCCGTATAAATAGAAAATGTGCCCTAAAAGGGTCTCTAATCCAGAGAACGACCCAAAAAGTCCATCGCATTGCTGCTGTTTGTAATCGCAGAGAACTGGACTCTGAACTCCTAGAAAACCTCGACCCTTACACAGCTACAGAACACGCGTTTAACGCTTTTTTAAAATCCAAACTCTTATGAAGAAGCATGCCCCCTAAACCCTAAACCCCTAAACCCTAAGCCCTAAACCCCTAAACCCCTAAACCCTAAACTCAGAACCCTAAGACACCAGGTCCTTCTCTGGACTGGCCTCACCTGACGGCCAGCAAGAAGCGACTTACTGGGAGGGGGGAGGGGGCGGCGGCGGACCAAGATACGGTTGATGATATAAATCCTAGGGTTCCTTTAAAGAGATCTATAAGGGTACCTCTGAGGGGTTCCTTCAAGGGATCTGTGAGGTTTTAGGGTTCAGGGTTTAGGGTGATGATATGAATCCTGCATTACCTTTAAGGCCCTAAACTATGGGAGTTATGGTATATTCCTTATTATGGGCAATGCAGGATTTATATCATCAACAGTACTTGATCCTGTACCCAGAGAGAACCCAATATCCCTTAATTAAGCAATATACCTTAACTCATACTAGTGATCCTATTCTGATTTAAGGTATATTCCTTAATTACGGGGTTTTGGGATCTCTGGGTAAGTGCTTTAGAGTTTTTGGGGTTCGGGGTTGTTGTTTTGCGTATCATCGGGTTTTACAAAGGCTCTCAAAGGCTTTTGCAGCTATTGATACGGTGGAAGCTGCAGTATTCCTGCACTAAGTCTCGCTGGGTCCACCATGGGTTGTTAGACGGGCGTTAAAGAAGGGTTCTAGAATTCTTTGTAAAGGTCAATATCCGTTCGCTACAGTTCCGCACTGAGGTTCCCCACTACAACACAGGGATTAATCTGTAGTCAAAGGGTTTGCAACTTTCTGGAGAAGTAGAGGTTGGGCGGGTTGCGCTTAGAACCTACTTACCAGCTAAGTATCCCAAGTATGACTACTATACGACTTGGACCAGCCCTACGCCCTAAACCCTAAAGGCCCTAAACTTTTTGGACCAAAAGGCGGGAATAAACTACTAGAGCGCGCAGTTGGTGCTCACGGTTCAGAAGCTTCAGGCTTGCAAGTGTCCGGGTTTAATATAAGGGCCTGAAGAATTACAGAAAGGATTTTGGGGTATAGTATACTTTGAATAGAAGAAAGAGCCCCAACAATAGTATTCCGCAACGGGTTCCTTTAAATTATTTTTTCAGGGTTCGTCTATGGGCTTAAGCGGGTTCTTGAAAGGGTCCCTTCCAGAGTTCCTTCCAGGGTTCCTTCGAATGTTCCGTCACGGGTTCCTTGAAGGTCTCCTTTAATGCTTCATCTACGGGCTTGAGCGGATTCTTTAAAATCTTCGTTTCCAACTACAACAAGAGCAGCTGGAAGCCTTAATTCCGAAGCCCCAATATAGGGGCCTAGTCAGACATGACATTTCAACGTGACAGCTCAAGCAACATGCCCTGCAAAGTAATACCTCTAGGTTGCAAAGTTCTTGTGGGTGATGTTGCGGCAGACGGCCACGACCCGGGCGTTTGAGAGGAGACCAGCGACGACACCGTGCCCACTCTCAGGCGTCAGGTCAATCAGCACCTCGCTCGGGAAAATGTGCATCAGTTCCTGGCGCAGAGTCGGGTGCGGCTCAAAGGGGAATGGAATCACCTTGTCGGGCTGAAGCTCGGAAATGCCTTCCATGTCCTCGGGACCGGCATCCTGCAGGCGAACATGCGGAAACGGCGATGCTGTGGGACCTCCCGCGCATGTTGTACATGTGGGTGTGTGTGTGTGTGTGTGTGGAAACCCTTATCATGGACTCTATAGTGTCGATCATGAAACCTTACTGTTTTTCTCATTTTACAGCGGATGCTCCTTGATCCATGTGCGAATCCCGCAGAAAATCAGCCTTATCGTTCTGTTTCTTGCTTATCCCTGTATTGCGGGTCTACAAAATAGCGCCACCTTACAGAAACTTCTCCAAGCAAGGGCCCATTATACTATAGTTATATAGGCAACTATTACTGCCCTTGAAGGAACCTGTAAAAGCAATGCAAATGCAGGAAGCCTCGATCTCCGCGATCACGCTCCTCGCGTTCGTCCTCGGCAAGAGGGGGCCGTCTTCAGGTGGGTGTAGGATCTAGGGTTTCGGGTTTAAGGTTTAGGGTTTCAGCCCTACCTTTCAGGGTTTAGGTTGACAATTCGGCATGGAAGTCCCCGGTGGTCCTTTCAGGGTTTAGGGTTTAGGTCTGTAGGGCTTTAGGATTCATAGCTTACCCATTGGCCCAAGCCCTCCGCTTTTGTGGTTGGATAGGGCCCACAAAAAGCACATAAGCAAAAATAAGCATAGGGATATCCCACATAAACCCCCTTATATGAAGCCCAATAAGGCAGGGATATCCCCATAAAATGCTTGTGCTTTTATGTGCTTTTGGGGGTCCCTCGTTGGAGACCATGCACGCTAAGCTAATACCGAAGGTGGAGCACATGCCCTGCCCATCCAACCAAACCCAAACCAACAGAAACCACTCCTTTGCTGACTTCTGAACCCCTCCGAAAAGTTAAACTTTTAGCCTCCTTATTATAGTTCATATAGAAGCCCCAAAAAATTAAAGTCTAAAGAGCCAACCAGAAGAACGCCAAGACTCCTTTCACAATCCGAAACCCTAAAGCCTTAACCCTAAACCCTGAACCCTAAACCCTTAACCCTAAACCCAAAAACCCTAAACCCTCAACCCCAAAAGTGGGACCACGATTTCTACGAGCCCCTAAACCCCACACCCGCCCAGAACGCCTCCTGATCGGACGCTTTCTCATCCTTTCCACCACCTGTGTGGGACACAGACCGGGCTCGGGATCATACGATTCAGGGCTTGAGGGTTATAGGGCTTTGGGGTAGGATTAGAGTTGAGGGTTTAGGGTTTACAGGTCCAGGATCAGCTTAATCAATCTCCGTACGCCTGTGCTGTGTCAACTATAGGAACGGGCAAGGCTGGAATGTCGGAATGTCTTATGGAAATCCGGCGAGGTATTGAAAGCAGTTGCAATGCATCTGTCACGTCTCGGAGCCATGAACCTGCACCGCTGTTCTTTGCTCCCTAAAACCTGAACCTAAAACCCCGCAACCCCACGACCTTAAACCCTGCAACCCTAAACACGAAACCCTCCAACCCCAACCTAACTACAACATGAAAAGTTCAAACCCAATTTGAAACCTCCTAGAACCCTAAACCCTCCAACCGCAAAGCCAACATGTAAAACCCCCGAAGGAACCTGGAATATGAGGGCCTGAGTAAGTCTGATGTTATTCTGTAGCGCACCTTGATGCAATGATCGCACAATATACCCCCAAATCCAAGTGTAATGTGTAAGCCCTCTATATATATATATATATATATATATATATATATATATATATATATATATATATATATATATCGCAGCGCTGTTACTTGTTCTATGTCCGGATCGCAAGGCATGGTCATGGTTGCTGTGATATAGGTTGTAGAACCTGTTCGGAAAAATCCAATTCGCAGATGTTCCAATCCGCAGACCTCGACAAGGAATCCAACTTGTAGACGTCGTGATGGTTTCTATTTTCCGTCTCCAAATCTACCTAGCCGAAGCCTTCATCCGGAACCGCACTTTCCAAATAGTTTTTTCGCTTGCACACCTTTTTCCAAATAGATAGAAAAGAAGCATTCGATTCTCATGATATACACATCTGTGGTCTGAAAGCACCTCCTCAGCACATCTTTTCAGTTTCACGCAAGAAGCACCTGTGCATTGCGTCCTCGCACAGCTCCGTTGAAACGCACTGTTCGGGCCGCGAAAAGGGGGCCGGCTCCGAACGCTGGAGAAAACAACACTTTAGTCACGGCGACGACGTTTGGGTGGGAGCTCACCCTTCCTCGGGGCATAGGCATAATAATCACAGGCTTCATGATCTCCACTGTACCCATTAAGCGTACCATCGCCTCCAAATCTTCAAACTGATCGTGGGAAACACAGACGCGAAGGACTCCCGTTTTCGTCAACCCCATCAGGGGCCGCCCACCGATCGAACTGCAGCTTCACACTACTGCGGGACAACGCATCGTCGACATTCCAGTCGACAGCACGCAACAGCTCCTCCGCGGCCGAGAACTGCAGAGCGGTCACCTCGCGAACCCTGGCGATCGCAGTTTTTTGTTCCTCCAGGCTGAGGAACCACCTTCGCCTCGGACGTGAGGGCACCAAGTCCTTCGCGCCACTGCTTGAAGCGGCTGCCAGGTCGGTGCCTCGACGCAGGAGCTGGTTTCCCACCTGGCTGTGAGTTCTCCACAGCGTGGACACCTGCAGAAACCGGTGTGTCCGGAGCCACAAACTCGACATCATCCTCCTCACTCTCCTCGGCTAGCCCACCTATCCCATCTCCCATGGAACCGTTGAAGGAACGTTAGGAAGGTCCTTTAAGGAACTCTGAGCAGAACCCTAAAACTCATAATGTAGAACTGACCGAGTCGCTAGTACTACTGTTCCGTAGGGCTCCGTACTGTCTTCAACATACCACGAAACCCTGGTCTTGTTATTAGGGCTCTTTAAACTAACGCTAATAGTAACTATGATAGAAACCTTATGGAACCCTCAAAAGGAACCCTTAAAGGAACCCACATGAACCTCAAGCCCTAATCGAAATTCTCTAACCATAGCCCTACAGTGGTAACTCCTAACCCCTTCAACCCCTAAACCCTAGAAGCCCCAAACCCTAACCCCCTAAACCCCAACGCCCTAAACCCTATAAACCCCAAACCCTAAACTCCTAAACCCCTAAGCCTTTAACCCTGAAACCGCACACCCTAACCGCCACAGCCCCTAAGCTCCTAGGCTCTAACCCCCCTTAAACCCTAAACCCTAAACCCTTAATAATCCGTTATAGTAACCCTTATAGATCCCTTTAAAGGAACCCAAACTCCCAAAGCCCCTATGGTAGAAGCCAGAAAGTTGGAACATCATTATCCTCATGCCCATGAGGTAAAGTATAAGGGATCCTAGCACTGATCCTCCTAAATCCATGTTCCAACTTTCTAACCCTAAACCCTAAACCCTAAACCCTAAACCCAGAATCGACAGCGAAAGCGGCCACAGATTCGCCTGACCGGGGCGTCAGCTCCTTCTCCAGAACGCCAAGCCTGGGTCATGAGGGATCTTACGAAGCCCTTTAAGGGCTTACTATAAGTACTATAAGGGATCTATAAGGATCTTAAGAGGCCGGTTTAGGGGTCTAGACCCAAGAGTAACCCAGGAATAGAAAGGGTGCCCTTTTTGGCTTAAAGGGGCTGATGAGGGAACCTGAACCCTAAAAAAGGGAATAAGGGCTTACTCTGGGCCCTAGGGGTGAACGTCGGGGGGGTCTAGGGTTTAGGGGTTTTAGGGTCCAGGGGTTTGGGGGTTTAGAATTTAGGGGTTTAGGGATTTAGGGTTTAGGGGTTGAGGAGTTTAGGGGTTTAGGGGTTTAGGGGTTTAGGGGTTTAGGATTTAAAGGTTTACGGTTTGAGAGGTTTAGGGTTCAGGGTTCAGGGTTTAGGGCTTAGGCTTTGGGAGGTTTGGGGTTCAGACTTGCAGGTTTAGGGTTTCGGGGGGGTTGAGGGAGGTCTCTAAGCAAGGAGGCTTTGGTTTTCAGGCGTGCGTGTTTTCGGCGTGGAATGAATGCGCAGCGCAATGCGTTCGCACAGTAGAGGGGGGGGGGGCTAGGCTGGTGTTCTTGTTTGGGAAAGAGGAGTGTGTCGCCGGGGCCTCAGTCTTGTACAGTGCCCATCAAACTGCCTTGCCGTGTCATTCCACTCTGCAAGCATCGTGATGTCTCATGCATGCAGAGACGCCGACGCCGCAAGGCTACTCAAAAGCCCTACACTTCAGACTCCACTGCAAAGCCGTAAATCCCTAGACTCAAAGCCATTAAGAAACACAACAACCGTGAACTCTAAGAACGAAAATCCTATGAAGCTCTGAACAAACTCCAAAACGCCCCACACTCTTCAAACCCCTGGCCGAATACGAAATCCTTATGAAAACCTTGCAGTGCTGCTGGAGGCGTGCAGGAACTTTACCATCCCCCTTCTTCTCTGCCCCCTTGGGAAACAGGAGGCAGGCAAACACATGTTTCTTGTAGATCCCTGTACAAGTAACCATATAGTAGAAGCCAGAAAGTTGGAATATCATTATCGTAACCCCTTTAAGGTAAATTATAGGGGATCCTACCATTCATCCATATTCCAACTTTCTGGAGTTCCCTTTAACACCCGAAAAAACACACCCAAAAGAAGTCAAGAGCCCAAATGCCCAAACCATCCTAACTCCGAAACGCTATAACCCTCAACCCTAAAACCTTATAAACCCCAACCCTAACCCCTTAAACCCCGAAACTCTATAACCATAAACCCTAAACCCCTCAACCCTAAACCCTTAGGAATCCCTTGTAGTAGCCCTTATAGATCCCTTTAAAGGAACCCTATAACCCTATAACCCTATAACCCTATAACCCGAAACCCTGAACCCTGAACACTAGAATAGGTAGGACTATAGTTGTAACCCATATTAAGGGACTTATAACCCCACTTATAACTACCCATGACCCCTAAACCCTATACCCTCATAGATTCCTTATAGATCCCTTTAAAGGACCCCAAGTAAACCCTATAACCCTAAGCCCTTAAAACCCCAAACCCGAAACCCTATCACCCCAAACCCTAAACCCTGAACCCTTAGGAACCCCTTATAGATCCCTTTAAAGGAACCCCATAAACCCTAAACCCGAAACCCTGAACACTAGAATGAACCCTAAACCCTATACCCTTATAGTATAGAGTCCCTATGGACTCCAAGTAAACCCTAAAACCGAAACCCATCTCGGCGCCCGGCAGCCCCTTCAGGAGCTTCTCCGGAGAAGGCCTCGCTCTTGAAAGCGGTCGGAGCCAGGGGAGGACTTAGGGTTCAATTTTTTTGAGGGACTTAGGGTTCTTTTTTTTGAGGGACTTAGGGTTCTTTTTTTTGAGGGACTTAGGGTTCTTTTTTTTTGAGGGACTTAGGGTTCTTTTTTTTGAGGGACTTAGGGTTCTTTTTTTTTGAGGGACTTAGGGTTCTTGTTTTGAGGGCAAGCGCACTAGGACTTAAGGCTTTAGGGTTTTAGGGCTTAGGATGTTTTAGGGTTTAGGGAGGAGACCCCAATGGCCCTTTAATGGAGCTGCTATGGTACTTAATAGTGGGAGTTTGGGGCATATTAGAGGGTAGTTGGGGAGCCAGGAGAGGACTTAGGGCTTTTAGGGTTTAGGGTTGCGGGATATGGGGTTATAGGGTTACTTTAAAGGGATCCATAAGGGTTACTATAAGGGGTTCGGTTTTAGGGTTTAGGGTTTAGGATGGTTCAGGGTTTAGGTTTAGGAGGGTTTAGGGTTTAGGGTTTCTATAGGGTTTAGTGTTTAAGAATTTAGGGGTTAAAGGGTTTAGGATGGTTTAGGGCTTTGGGTTTAGTGCTTTAGTGCTTCTGGCGGTTATAGGGTTTAGGGTTTAATTCGGGATTTTTGTTGAGCTCCTTCTTGGTGTCGGCCAGCCAGGTTAGTTTGGAAAACTAGGGTGTGGGGTTTAGGACCTAGGGTTCAGAGTTTGGGGGTTCAGGGGGTTAGAGTTTGAGGGTTTGAGAGTCGAGGGTTCAGGGCTTAGGGGCTTAATTAGCACGTAGGCTGTCTTTGGTGTAGGATGTTCGAACCCTGAGATATGGGAGTTTCCGAAAATTAGGGGGTCCCTTATTTGGGGGCCTTATAATAAGGATCCTACTATCTAGGGTGCTATATTAGGGGCCCCTGTTTTCGGAAACTCCCATATTAAACCTTTGAGCTGAGCAAGTTCCGGATCGGACTTGAAGTGCCTAGAGAGCCCAATACCCCCTAATCAAGGAATATAGCTTAACTCATAGTATGAAGCCCTATAATATTTAAGCCATATTCCGTAATTAAGGGGTCTTGGGCTCTCTGCATGGTGGCGATGTGTGAGCTCGACTCTTTCGCCTGCAAAACAAATATTGCAGCGAAACCCTTTAAGCAGCCTTACAAAGCCTTTATCAAAGTCCTCGGACCCCTTGTAATATAGGGGCCTTATAAATTAGAATAGGGTTTTGGGGCCCATGATGCTATAGTTATAATAAGGAACCCCCCAAATAGTACATGTAATTATGTAGGCTCTTATATTCACAGCTCAGCAAACCCTGTAGCATCCTTCTCTCGAGCCCCGAAGTCTTGATTTCAATAGTCTCAAAGAGAAAAGGCGGGACCCTTAATGGGGACCGCTACCCTATAATGGGCCATATAATGGGTATATAGTAGCTATATTAAGGGTATGTACTTACGGGTCCTTATTAAGGGTCCCTCCTTTACCCTTGGATAGTCGACATCTTCGGGTTTTGGGTTGTTCGTTGACCGGGGGTTCCAGTCACCTACTATGGTGGAAACCCTATATAAGCCAAGGGTGTACGGTTGATGATATAAATCCTGCATGACCTTAAGGACCCTAAACTATGCTTATTATGCTACATCCATTATTATGGGTAATGCAGGATTTGTTTCATCAACCGTAGCACTTGCCCTAAACCCTGGGGGAGTGCACCTGCAACTGTGTCGGGTCTACATGGAGGCTACATAGGTTGTCGGAGTTGAGGTTCGGGGTTTTCAAGCTTCTGAGGTTTCGGGGTGTGGGCTTTAGGGTTGCAGGAATTCTTCTGGGGTTCGCCCGAAGCTGCGAAACCGGAAAACCAGTCAAACAAGGATTTCTGCAGACCTGTGCCCATACCCAAACCGGACTAGAACCTTGAACCGGTTCCTACTTAAGGTGTGTTTCGTGTTCAGAATAAGCATATACATAAACATAAACATATACATATACATACACATATACTGGATGGGACCTGAAATTGGTAGTCTTCCTTAACTGGTCTTAACTGACTACATAGAGCTAGGCGTAAAACTTCTTCCGACTTGTTAGGCCCCTCAGACCCATAGAACCCTTATAGAAACCCCTAGAAGAACCAGGAGGAACCCTCTCCTAATCATTCAAGCACAGAAGAATGACGTGCCAGCATGGGAGTGGGGGACCAAGGTTGCAGAACTCGAGTTTAGGGCTCAGGCTCTGTGCGTTTAACTACGGTTGATGATATAAATCCTGCATCACCCATAATAAGGAATGTACCATAATTCCCATAGTTTAGGGTCCTTAAGGTCATGCAGGATATATATCATCAACAGTAGGGTTTAGGCGTCTAGGGCTTGGGGGTTTATAACTTTGGGCTTTGAGGCGTCGGGTTTGGGGCTTCGGGGTTAGTAGAGAAAGAGGAAGCCTGCCCACTGTTTGAATAAGCCAAAACCCGGAATCCGGAACTCGAAGCCTCATCCATCCGTGAACCTGATATATGATCAAACCCGAAAGAAAGAGGCTAAACCCTTCTCTGAGTTTGAAACCCAAAACGGATTAAGGAACTTAGGGTTCAGGGCGCCGGGCTAGGCTTAGACACTTTCCAAACTTCCAATAGCGGGGCCCGAGCTTCTGCGCCAAGTCTGCCAGCTCTTTGTTGTCTGGGAAATGCCTTTGCAAAAGCTCGTCGGGATCTGGTTTATGGTGTAGGGCTTGGGGTCAAGGGTTTCTGGGCTTTGGTGCTTACTGCTCGGTTGTTGTAGGTTTGGGCTTACACCTCCTTGGAAAACGAGAGTAGCGCTGCACACACCCTCAACCCTTAAACCCAGAATCGGCAAATCAGCCATCACTCCCCTGCACCACATAAAGGCATTCGATGAAGGTCTTGGGATATGTCACACTATACGTATTAGGGGAACATGAGGGCATGCTAACAATTTTTGCTACGTACCCCAATATAGTACAGGGTTGTTTGCTTGAACGGCAACATCTTTTCCTCATATGCTTGCAGAGGCATCGCTTTCATATATATATATATATATATATATATATATATATATATGTATACATACATATATATATATATATGTATACATATATATATATATATATATATATATATGTCTCTCTCTCTACATACATATATGTATATACACATATGTAGAAAGAGTCGAGACAAAGAGAGAGAGAGAGAGAGAGAGACTGAGAATACTGTATGGCACTCCAAATCCAGGCAAGAGGAGTCATGCAGGAGAGGGCTTCAGGAGAAGAAAAGAGGAGGGATCCTTCTGGTCGGTATCTGCAAATCGTGTTGTCTATATTCGGATCCCTTACCGTCTCATACTCCCAAACCCCAGCCTAAACGCTATAAGCCCCACACCCCAAGTTCCCGAAGCAAAACAGTGACATTCTCTGCTGACCCCCGGCCCTACAGCCCTACCAAAGTCTGAACCCGAAACCCAAAAGCATAAACGCTATGATGACGGGATGCCAAAAGGGAGGTTTAAGATTGTTGGGGTCAGGATTCCTTCATATCCCTATTATGGGAACCCTAAACCCTACCAAACCCCCATAGGCTAAAACCCCTTTTGACCCCATAGGCTATAGAGGCGATCGGAGAGCCCCCCGGGTGCATCCGGAGCCTCTGCACGAAGAACGTCAGCAGCTCCGCTGCATCCTTCGAAGAAAAAAGTGCTTGAGGCCCGAGGCTTTCTGGGTTTAGGACTTGGGTGTAGGGTTTATTTTTAGGGTTTAAGGTTTAGGTTAGGGCTTAGGGAGTTTAGGGTTTAGCATTTTAGTTTAAGCCCGTAGCCCGAATCGCAAAAGTCCAAACCAAACCCTAAACACTCTTGGGGCTGTTTAATGAGGAGTTGAAAGCAGAACGATTTACGGTCCGGGCTCCCCCGAGGCTCAGAACACTACTCCTTTTAAGAGCCTAGGGCTGAGGGTTCAGGGCTTAGAGGTTAGGGCTCACGGTGTAGGGTTCTCATGGTCTCTGCCGAAAGCTCTAACTGCATGAACCTTGGCCTCATCGCTCAGGTGCAGAGGGTCCATCTAGTAGTAATGCAGGCTTCAACGCTGGCGGGTTTTAGGGTTTAGGGTTTGAGGTCAGTATCGGGCACATGGGCCCTTACGCTAAGGGCCAAGGGGACCTGATAATTAGGTACTTGGGCATAGGATGCTAGTTTCGTAAGTTGGCATTTGGGAGAGTATGTCATTATCGGGCAGGGTCGTAAACCTTAAGCCGTACACTTGCTTGAATCGTGCACCCGTGCCCAGAAACCGTTTGCCCAAGTGTCCTAGGGCTTGAGGTTAGAAACTATGGGGCCTGAATACCGAGAGTGAGCTTTTTTGTGGGCATCTTGGATTCTATAGGTACTTAAACAAGGAATGCCATCAACAGTTATCCAGATCATGTATTCTTTATATAACCCTAAACCCTAAACCCCTAAGGTCTTCGGTATGGGGTTGTGAGGGTCTGGGCTCAGGGCTCAAGGCAAGCGAAATCCTTGCAAACTAAGCATGGGATCCTAATCTCGGGCACACCGAACTTTAGAGTTTAGGGGTTAAGGTATTCGTGCTACGGTTGATGAAATAAATCCTGCACTACCTTAAGGGCGCCAAACTTGGGAATTATGGTATATTCCTCATTATGGGTAATGCAGGATTTTTATAATCAACCGTAGGTTTTAGGTCTTAGGCTCTGACAGTCTCAGGTCTTCGGGCTTAGGGTCTAGGTTTAGCATGTAGTGTCTTAACAGAGTGTTGGGGCGTCAGGGCTTAGGATTTCTGGTTTGGAGTCTTGTAAGGTTTGGGGTTTAGGGTCTAGGATCTCATGTTTGAGGCCTGAGGTTTCGAGTTTACGGTATGGGGATCACAGCCAGCACCTCGACCTCTGATACCGGGATCCGAGTTGTCCCAGGTGACAGGAAGGTCTGCAAACAAGTGAGAAAGGGCCCGGAACCATCAGAAAAGTGATGTGGGTATACCATGCTCTCATCATTGCTACAACGGCTCAGAATGAGGGTGGTTGTCAAAATTAGGGTCCCTGTTTGGGTACCCTAAATATTCCGTGCCGTATTCTAAATGGGGGCCCAAAAAGGGACCATAATTTTGACAACCACCCATGAACAGAATGGCTGCTCTGATACTATAGGTATAGTAAGGAACCCACCAAACTAGTACAGGTAATTATTAAGGCCCCTATACTAAACCTAGTAACCCTTATAGACCCGTTTGAAGCCCTAAACCCTAAGCACCCCGGCTTTTGAGGTTAGGGCCCGGAAGCCCCAAGACACTCAAAGCCCAAGCTGCGAAAGTTGTGTTCTTGTTTAAGGATTTTGAACTTAAGTTGCCACAATAATGATAACAATAATCATAACAATAACAATAATAATCATCATCATCATAGCGAGAATGAAGATTATACTATAGGGATCTATACTAAATCACTGAATATTATGGTTTCCTTATTTTGCTAACTTATTTCGAGTTCCTTAACAAGAACCCAGAAAATGCCGTGCGTGCGTGCGCTTCCTGCAGCGCGCGCTGGTCTTCGGTGGCAAAGCGCACCAGCTGCGGCAGCAGCTTCTTCGTCAGCTGCTCCTGACCCAAAACCCCAAACTTTGCGAAACGCCTAACATGGAAACCCTAAACCCGTAAACCCCTAAAGCACTGAAGTCCCATAGCAGCACCTGAGGCTCATGGAACGGGAACTTGGACTTCCGGGATGACCCTAAACCACAAGAGCCCGAAAGGCCTTCGGAGCCTACGCCCTTCCTTAGCCTACCAAACCTACTTTTTTATAGGCTCCTATTATGACCCCGAATATGGAGCTTATAAGGACCCTAAAAAAAAGTAGAGTTTGGTAGGTTGAGGTACGCCCTAAACTTGGAGAGCTCGGTATTAAAGCACTCGGTGCACCACGCTGCCCCGACCGGAGGCCTTCATAATCCCGGCAGGTAAGATCAGAAGCCTAAGGTTCAGGGTTTTACAGGATGCTTAGGGTTAACAGGGCTCAGAAGGTTAGTAGGGAATTTATAATAGGATATACAGTGTTAAGACCCTATATGCAGGGTCGATGTAGAGCTTATAGGTCTCATTAGCATAGCCTAGCGTGAGCTTCTATTCGGGAGGCAACGGGTTGGTCCCAAGCAGCCTTAAACCCCATGGAATCCACCCGGCATCTTCAAATTTGTCGAACCCTCGGGTGCTCGTTGTGATCCCGAGCCTGTCGGAAAATCTCCTTCGCACGGCTGGACGTATAAAACCACCCTCCTCCGCAAATGCCTTTGAAACAGCGTAGCGCGCAACACCGCTATTTCCCTTCAAAGCGTCGGGTGGCACCTCGAGCAGGTTCTCAAGGTCTACCCCCACCGATAGAAGTTTCATCCATTTCACCAAATGTAACAGGGACAGGACAGATCCGGAAACCTAAGGGGTCAACAATTTTAGATTCAAATTTGAGCCTCGTGCCTCTTCTTCTTTCTCCAACGCACCCGAACGAGTATTCGAGCGTTTAGGGTTTAGGGCTGAGGGTGTATAGGGTTTAGGGTTGACGGTTTAGGGTTTACTTTGTTCGCCATCCTTCTGACCGGCTGTTTTGCAAGGTCGGGGTGCGCACGTAAACCCCCCTTGCAGCCTAAACGGTGAACCCTAAAGCCCTCAGCCCTCAACCCTGAACCCTAAGACGCTGCAACCCTAAACCCCTCAGCCATCAGCCATAAATGCTAAAACCCTGAAACCCTGAAACCGTCAGCCCTCAACCCAACACTGCTACAGCCAAGGGGTTCAGGGGATGCAGTAAGGAAGTCGTCCGAAAATTGAGGGGAGGGGGGGGGTAATAAACAACAAAACCGTATACATCCCTATAGAAACCAGCGCCCCATGGCCCCATGCCCGAAAGCCCTTCTTGCCCTAAACCCTTACAGAACCCAGATCAACCCCTTCATACCCCTCCTAGATCCCTTTTTCGAACCCTTTAACAAATCCCGAAACCCTAAATTTAAGCCCTTTAAAACCCTAAATCCCTGGAACCCTCAAACGCGCAAGCTGAAACCCTACACCCCAAAGGCTAAGAACCTAAAGCCCTAATCAAACCCTAAACCCCCCAAACCCTAAACCCTAAAACCCTAAAACCCTAAGAACCCTGAAGCCCTAACCCCATACTCTAAGCCCTAAAACCTTAAAACCCCGAAACCAAACTAAACCCTAAACCCTAAACCCTAAACCTCGCCTGCTCAGTCTCGAAGTCCATCTTCGCCGACCTCTGAGGGCCCAGTGGTCTTTGAGGGTTCCGTTAGGGTTTAGGGTTTTTCGGGCTTTGATTGAGGTTTAGGATTTTTAAGCTTTAAAGTTTAGGGCTTTGAAGTTTAGGGTTTTAAGTTTTAAGCTTTAAAGTCTAGGGTTTTACGCCTTAAGGTTTAGGGGTTTACGGTTCAGGGTTTAGGGTATAGGGTTTAGGGTAGGAGGTAAGCCTTGGGGATGTTCCGTTTATAGGTGTAGGACCGACCCGGGCCATCTTTATCAGGCTCCTACGTTATAGGGGCTGAAAATGCCCCGGATTTGCGCTTGGGAGTTCTGGGTATCTCTGAGGCAGCTCCTGGACGACATTCTCTAGGCCTATGCCAGTATGACGCGGCTATGACGATTAGACCTGCCTTAACCTGAAATCCTGGCACGCTGACACAGTTTGCAATCCAATAAGATCAAAGATGTAAAGCGGTTGAGCCTTTGGGTTCAGATCTCATAAAAATAAGAGCCTTAATAATTAGGATAGGGTTTTGTGGTATGTTCTACTAAAACTATAATAAGGAACCCCCAAAATAGTATAGGCAGTTATTAAGGAACCTACATCGAACCCTTATATAGTACCCTTATAAGATCCCTTAAACGAGCTCTTGCAAGGAACCCCCAAAATAGTACTGGTAACCCTTATGCCTCAACCTAAACCCTGAGCCCGAAACCCTTAATCCTACCTCAAACCCTTAACCTTAAGCACTTATGAGCGCTAGCTTTGGGTATCAATGAACCCTGCTGCTGCTATGCGCGAGGTGCCTGCGGCGACGCCGTGCTGGCGCATCCGAGCCTGTTCAAGGAGTTGTTACAGTAGACCCCAAAAAGTTGGAAGCCGGATTAATGACAATTCGTGCTGGGATCCCTATACATTGCTCTTAAGGATTGAGGCTATTGGGTTTCCAACTTTTGGGCTAAACCCTAAACCCTAAACCGTGGGTTTCTTTTTGCAAGTGTCGGGTTGGTTCGGGGTTTAGGCTCAGGGGGTTTAGGGTTTAGGGATGAGGGTTCGTTTATGGTTGACTTGGAGGTTCATGGGTAGATATAAGAGGGTTATGAGCCTCCTGACATAGGTTATATAGCTATAGTGTTCCTACGTATAAACCCACTTCTAACTAGCAATGAACCTCCAAGTAGGGTTTAGGGTTTGATCTTGGGGGGTTACTTGAAGGATCTTCAAGGGCTGCTGTGAGCGGTGCGAGAGAGGTGCCAAAGTAGAAGCCAGAAAGTTGGAATATCATTATCGTAACCCCTTTAAGGTAAACTATAGGAGATCCTACCATTAATCCATATTCCAACTTTCTGGAGTTCCCTTTAAAAGGATTTCACAAGAGCTTTATTGGGATACTCGGGATTTCGGGCGCATGGCCCCGATTTGGGGCTTGGGGTTTGGTGTCTAGGGGTTGAGGGGCCCAGGGAGATTTCCAGTAGGAAGTGGCCAAAACTCCAAAACCAAAGACCCAGACCCTGCAAGCCAAACCAAAGGACCTAAACCGGTTAGATCACCCTGAACCCTAAATACTAAACCCTAAACCATTATAAGGCCTACACCCTAAAACCTAAACCCTAAAGCTTAAAACCTAAAACCTGCAACGTAACTATCTTTCTGAGATATTGGTTTGCCAGACGCAGAGCCCTGACCTGGACCTAGACCCTACACCCAAAACCCTGCAAACCTTTAAACCCGTTTAGTTTAGGGTTTAGAAACAAACAAGACACGTGGGTTTCGGAGGACAGTGATTTGAGGTTTTGGTGGGCCTTGATCGTCATCGCCACTTCCGCTGTCACCTCGGAGCTTTCAAAGCGTCACTGGAGCAGAGGGCTTGAGAAAAAGGAACAAGGAAGGATGGTTGAAGTTTGGAGCTCTTCGGGTTTAGAGGTTTTGAGCGCTTAGGGTTCAGGGTTTAGGGATTTAGAGGCTTTGAGCTCTTATGCTTTCGTTTTGGGGGTATAGAGGCTTTGAGCTCTTCTGGTTTAGGGGTTAGGGGGTTCGAGTTTTGGAGGTTAAGAGCTTTGGGTTTTGGGGCTGGGGGGCTTGAGTCTCAAGGTTTAGGGCTCAAGGGATTCTGTTTTCTTGATCAAGATATTTTGACACCCCTAAACCCTACAAAGATTTCAAGAGTGGCCCAGGACTTCCAGCCAAAAGTCTCGAGAAACTCCAGTTTATCAGGCGTTGGGCTTTGAGGGCTTCGGGATTACCTTTTGGGTCTGGAATTAGTTTGGTATTTTTTTTTTTTTTTTTTGCATTTTTTTTTTGTGGTGTGCTTGGCCGTGTTGCATTGCCTTGCAGGGCAGCATCCTCGGGCGTTCAAACGCGAGGTAAAGTTACACATTTTGCGGGCGCCGCGCAACCCTTCACAGGGTTTGGGTGTATTGAGCTGCATTTTGCAACCCTTCACAGGGATTGGCATTTTGCAACCCTTCACAGGGATTGGCATGGTCGAATGCACGAACGCTAGGTAAAGTTGCATTTTTTGATGTGCATTGAAATGAATTTTGCAACCCTTCACAGGGATTGGCGTGGTCGAGTGTTCGAACGCGAGGTAAAGTTGCAATTTTTTATGTGCATTGAGATGAATTTGGCAACCCTTCACAGGGATTGGCGTGGTCGAGTGTTCGAACGCGATGCAAAGTTGCATTTTTCGATGTGCATTGAGATGACTTTTGCAACCCTTCACAGGGATTGGCGTGGTCGAGTGTTCGAACGCGAGGTAAAGTTGCAATTTTTGATGTGCATTGACATGAATTTTGCAACCCTTCACACAGATTGGCGTTGGCGAGTGTTCGAACGCGAGGTAAAATTATTACTTTTGATGTGCATTGAGGTGAAACTTGCAACCCTTCACAGAGATTGGCGTTGTCGAGTGTTCGAACTAGTACTAGTACGACTACTACCACTACCACTACTACAACTATTATTACTACTACTACTGCTACTACTACCACTACTACAAAAGAATACTACTACTACTGCTACTACCACTACTACTACCACTACTACTGCTACTGCTACTACTGCCACTACTACTACTACTTTATTACTACTACTACTACTACTACTACTACTACTACTACTACTACTACTACTAGTACCACAACAACAACTACAACTACTACTACTACTACTACGACCACGACTGCGACTACGCGACGACGACTACTACTACAACTACTACGACTACCACTACTATCACTACTACTAGTACTGGTACTGCTAGTACTACTACTGCTACTGCTACTACTACTACTACTACTACTACTACTGCTGCGACATAAAGTGACCATGCATATAGTCATAGAGTCACGTTGAAACCACAGTAATCAGGGATGTCTATATAGTGAGGTTCCGGAGCTAGGAAAGGAAGACTTCTGCGTCATGTTGGACTATACTCTAAACCCGCTAAACCTGAACATTAGTGTTCATAGAGTGAACTACATCAAGTCAAGTGCGTGGTACATAGATGACTCCATGACTCTATGACTCTATGATTCTGTCTCACTGTGACTCTATGACTCTATATGACTCTATGACTCTTTGAACTATGACTTTTGCTTGACATGTACTCGACTTTATTTCTCGATGACCCTATGAACTATGACTTGTACGACTCTTGACTGTATGTGACACTCCGACTCTGTGACTCCGTGCTTTTGACTCGGTGACTCCATGACCCTATACACTGGATTCTATGACGTAGCGCAACACTCTTCGCTGATGATGCTTTCGGGCCAATTGTCTTCTAGTTTTCCAACTTTGCTTTTTTATTATGGACTTCTTTCTTTCTTTCGCTCGTTCACTTCTTTTCTTTCTTTCTGTTGTTCTTTCTTTGTTCATCTCATACTCCCTTCCTTTCTTTCTTGCTTTCCTTTCTGGTTTGATTTATTTCGTTCTTTCTTTGGTTCGTTCTTTCTTTCGTTCTTGCTTTCGTTCTTTCTTTCAATTTTGCTTTCGTTCTTTCGTTCTCTCTCTCGTTCTATCTTTCTTTCTTTCTGTTTTCCTTGTTTTCGTCCTCTTTAGAGACAGCAATTTTTGAATTTTTCCCAGGGGAAACACTGTTTTCATACGGATTCGTTTTCATTTCCTGAGGATTTGCTTGGTTTTTGGTTCGGGGAAACACGATTTTCCTACGGATTCCGTGGTATTTCCTTAAGTTTATTTCTTTAGTTCTTGCTTTCGTTCTTCCTCTTGTTTTTGCTTTCGTTCTTTCGTTCTCTCTCTCGTTCTTTCTTTCTTTCTGTCTTTCTTTCTTGCTTTTTAGATACAGCAATTCTTGAATTTTTCCAAGGGAAAACACTGCTTTTCTAGGGATTTTCTTTCGTTTCCTAAGGATTTGCTTGGTTTTTCCTGGGGAAAACACGATTTTCCTACGGATTCCGTGGTATTTCTCTAAGTTGTCAACTCTCTTTGGTTCTTTCCTTGTGTTTTCTTTTTCTTTCCTTGTAGCTTTCTTTCTTTACTTAGTTCTCTATTTTTGTTTTCTTTCTTTACTTATAGCTTTCTTTATTTACTTATTTTTCTGTTTCTTGCATGGCTTTCTTTCTTTCTTTCGTTGTTTCTTTCTTTCTTTCTTTTGTTATTTCTTTCTTTCGTTGTTTCTTTATTTCTTTATTTCGTTCTTTCTTTCGTTCTTTCTTTCTTCCTTGCTTTCTTTCTTCCTTTCTTTCTTTCGTTCTTTCTTTCTTTCCTTCTCTCTCTCTCTCTGTCTTTCGTTCCTTTTTCCCCTTCCTTTCGCTGATACCCGTTTAATTTTTTTTATCCTTATTTAATTTTTTTTGATCCTTATTTAATCTTTTTTTGATCCTTATTTATTTTTTTTAACCCCTATCCCGCTTTACTGACCTAAATTCGCCTCGGCTCGGCTTAGGGTTGAGGGCGTGACTTAAGGACTGATTTATGAGGCTCTCTATGCCGAAGAAAAAAGCCAAGAAGCCGAAAAGCCAAGAAGCCAGAAGCCAAGAAGCCAGGGAGAATCAAAGCAACCCTGCACGGCTTAAAACAGCGGGGGGGTTGGGGGGGGCGCAGCCCCCCCCCATTTGCAGAGACAACGTTCACATGATGGGCCGAAAACACTCTTTGAATCAAGCTTGCACGTCTCGAAAAGCGCGGCGGCGGGTGTTTTGTTCTTCCGTGCCTGTTCGTGTCTCTTCTTCCGCTAGCATTCTAACCTAATATATATAACATAGTAAACCAGAAGAACGACATAAGATGGTTCGACAACACAAAAATGGTGTGACATTTTCTGACATAACAGAACCTTGCTTCTTATAGCATATAATGGCATACTAAAAAAACAATACAATATAACAGAAGATGACATAGAACAAAACAACATCTTAGTTTATAGTGTAGTACATTGTAACATAGTACAGTACAGTGTGTATATTTACAACATAATATGTAGCATATTTTTATAGGTTACATTTACATTATGTTATATTCTGTTACGGTACATTACGATATTATGGTAAATTCGAGTGGGCTATGTAGTATCCTGTTGCTTGTATCTTTGTTTCTGTGATTTTTTCATATTCTTTCTCTTTCGTATTTTCCAACTTTGCTTTTTTATTATGGACTTCTTTCTTTCTTTCGCTCGTTCATTTCTTTTCTTTCTTTCTGTTGTTCTTTCTTTGTTCATCTCATACTACCTTCCTTTCTTTCTTGCTTTCCTTTCTGGTTTGATTTATTTCGTTCTTTCTTTGGTTCGTTCTTTCTTTCGTTCTTGCTTTCGTTCTTTCTTTCGTTTTTGCTTTCGTTCTTTCGTTCTCTCTCTCGTTCTATCTTTCTTTCTTTCGGTTTTCCTTGTTTTCGTCCTCTTTAGATACAGCAATTTTTGAATTTTTCCCAGGGGAAACACTGTTTTCATACGGATTCGTTTTCATTTCCTGAGGATTTGCTTGGTTTTTGGTTCGGGAAAACACGATTTTCCTACGGATTCCGTGGTATTTCCTTAAGTTTCTTTCTTTAGTTCTTGCCTTCGTTCTTCCTCTTGTTTTTGCTTTCGTTCTTTCGTTCTCTCTCTCCTTTTTTCTTTCTTTCTGTCTTTCTTTCTTGCTTTTTAGATACAGCAATTCTTGAATTTTTCCAAGGGAAAACAATTCTTTCCTAGGGATTTTCTTTCGTTTCCTAAGGATTTGCTAGGTTTTTCCTGGGGAAAACACGATTTTCCTACGGATCCCGTGGTATTTCTCTAAGTTGTCAACTCTCTTTGGTTCTTTCCTTGTGTTTTCTTTTTTCTTTCCTTGTAGCTTTCTTTCTTTACTTAGTTCTCTATTTTTGTTTTCTTTCTTTACTTATAGCTTTCTTTATTTACTTATTTCTCTGTTTCTTGCATGGCTTTCTTTCTTTCTTTCGTTGTTTCTTTATTTCTTTCTTTTGTTCTTTCTTTCTTTCGTTGTTTCTTTATTTCTTTATTTCGTTCTTTCTTTCGTTCTTTCTTTCTTTCTTCCTTGCTTTCTTTCTTCCTTTCTTTCTTTCGTTCTTTCTTTCTTTCCTTCTCTCTCTCTCTCTCTCTCTGTCTTTCGTTCCTTTTTCCCCTTCCTTTCGCGGATACCCGTTTAATTTTTTTATCCTTATTTAATTTTTTTTGATCCTTATTTAATTTTTTTTGATCCTTATTTAATTTTTTTTTAACCCCTATCCCGCTTTACTGACCTAAATTCGCCTCCGCTCGGCTTAGGGTTGAGGGCGTGACTTAAGGACTGATTTATGAGGCTCTCTATGCCGAAGAAAAAAGCCAAGAAGCCGAAAAGCCAAGAAGCCAGAAGCCAAGAAGCCAGGGAAGCCGAGA